TGATTTTTTACCTTTTTCTTTATTTAATAAACTGATTTTTTGCATCCTGCCTGTCTTAGTCCTTGTTTTAGATCCGAGGGGTTTGGATCTGTATTCACCAGGGAATTGGTGAAGGTTTTTCAAGGCTTCCCAGGGAGGAAATCCATTGGAAATGGTGGCAGTGGGACCAGAGCTAAGCTGGTAGTTAAGCTTAGAAGTTTTCATGCAGGCCCCTACATTTGTACCCTAAAGTTCAAAGTGGGGATACAGCCTTGACAGCCTCTGACTCTGGGGTTTGTCAACAGTTCAGGCTGGGCAGAATCCCTCCCACCTTGTCTGTCTCCAGCCAGTCCTTCTGGCATGTGGTGATGGTCAGCACGGCCGCACAGAGCAGCGCCCCTTCTTAAGTAGAGTCTCTCTGGACCTTTCTGCTATGTACTCAGCTGGAAAACTCCATCTCCCTCCCGCAGACATGCTCACCCCACCTGCGGGACCTTGTGTAGAAATAACATTGTTCTGTGAGGGTGGGCCAGTAGTTGAGAGACAATCAAAACTGATGGCGCTAGATTGCCATCTTGAGATCTACTCCATGATAGTCCTTCAACAAAGTGTCACGCACCTTTTCTACGCTGGGCACCTGTCGAGAATACAATATGATAATCTGCCTTGGGTAAATTTAGGCGTGTGCACAGCACATAATACAATGGGAAGGTCCTTGCCTGTTAGTAACTAGAGTTCTTTGAGATGTGGTGTCTATATGTGCTTCACTTCTGGTGTGCATATGCCCCATGCACCGGAGATCTGAATGCATTAGCCACCAGTGTCCATTGGTTGTGCCTGCACCCTGCATGCCTCCCTTGGGAGCTGGGATCTAAGATATAACTAGTAAGCTGTGGTGCACTGGTCTTTTGGGAGCCGCAGGCCTGGTAATTCTGTGAGTGCCCAGTGGAGAAGGGGCCGGACACTACAGGGAACGCTCCGAGGACTGGGGGCTATTACTCCCAGATCCTTTCCAGCAGCACTATCACCTGGCCAGGTGTTCCTCATTTTGTAGTTGTTCATTTGATTTCTCCTTCCTAAGGATACGTCCACACTACCTGCCGGATCGGCAGGTAGCGATCTATCTATCAGGGATCGATTTATCATGTCTCAAATAGACACGATAAATTGATCACAGAACGCGCTCCCCGTTGACTCCGGAACTCCACCAGGGCGAGAGGCGGAAGCGGAGTCGACGGGGAAGCTGGCCGTCGATCCTGCGCTGTGAGGACGTGAGGTAAGTCGATCTAAGATACGTCGACTTCAGCTACGCTATTCTTGTAGCTGAAGTTGCGTATCTTAGATCGATCCCCGCCCCTAGTGTAGACCAGGCCTAAGTGTAGTTCCTCACACTGAGCTTTGATTAATTTCATCTTGTTGATTTCAGACCAATTCTAATCCTGCCTCCAAAGTGCTAGTAACCCCTCTCTGCCTGGTGTCATCCACACATTTTAGTAGCACACTCTCCATTCCATTATCCAAATTTTTAATGACAATACTGAGTAGTACCGGACCCAGGACTGACCCCTGTGGGACCACACTAGGAATAGAATAAGACACACTAGATACGTCTTCCCAGAGTGCAGCAAACTACTGACAACAACCCCTTGAGTATGGGGTTTTCAAACAGTAGTGCACCAACCTTACAGTAATTTCATTTAGACCAGTGATTTTCAACCAGGGGGCCAGGGCCTCCTGGGGGACAACGAGCAGGTTTCAGGGGGTCCACCATGCGGGGCCAATGTTAGATATGCTGGGGCCCAGGGCAGAGGGCTGAAGCCCCACTACATGGGGCAATTGCCCTGCTTCCTACCCCTTCGCGCTGGCCCTGGCTTTTATATGCAGAAAACCAGTTGCTGTGGCAGAGGTGTGATGTGGAGTTTTTACACAATGTTGGGGGTGGGTGGAGCTCAGAAAGGAAAAGGTTGAGAACCCTGATGTAGACCACATTTCCCTAGTTTGCTTATGAGGATGTCAAAAGCCTTACTACAAACAGGATATACTGAGTCTACTGCTTCCCCCCTAAGCCAGTAACCCTGACTGCTAGACGTGGCTTTTCTTACTGGGGCCTTTAAAATCTCCCCTATTGCTCCTCAAGGAGCCAACAAAGGGGCATCTGGGAGTTCAGAAATGGTCCAATAACCTGGTGCTGTGCCTGTTGGTGTGGGACACGAAACGAGCTCCAGCACCGTCAGCAGTGGCACGGAAGGACCCGTGCGATGGATGCTGAGTGCAGGAAATGGGACGTCTGTGCCACAGGTGTGGGTAGCAGAGGCACTGAGGAGAGCGGCACCTGGTGCAACGAAGGCGAGAGCTCCGGGCGTGATGCGTCGGTGCGGCAAACAGTGGTGCCGGAAGCACCCGCAGCAGCACCAGCAGCAATGACTGTGCCGCAAGCAGTGGTGCTGAGAGGCCACCACCAAGTGAAATCCTCTCTGGGCGCCAAGGGATGAGCCAACAGCGGAACCAAGGACTCAGGACTCCTGCTCTCTGAGCGCCAGAGGGACCAGGGATTGGCCTCGAGCTGCCCTTCTCAAGTGACACAGAAAGAGGTGACGTAGCAGGCACCTGAGGAGGAGATCTACTCCTGTGCTCCTTGGCAGGATGGCGTCCATCACACTCGAGGTCATGAACCAGGGCAGGCATAGCCTTAGAGGCGGAAGAGATGGCTGCCAGGGTACTTTTTACCCAAGGGTGATCGGTCCTAGGAGGACCCTGCATCTCTTCAGGGACTGAGCCTGGCCTCCTAGACTTCTCCAGGAGAAATCCCTTCCGTCTAGTCTCTCTGGATTTCACAGCCCGTATGGGGAGGGCTCTGAAGTCCCTGCACTGCTCTCTAATGTGTGTCTGTGAACCCAGACAATACAGACGCTTAGAGTGTCTGTCGTTCCGGGCATGGCAGACCCCCATGAGGGACATAATTTAAATCCTGGGGACTAAACCCCCCTGTACCTGGAGAAGACAGCAACTGCTCACCTCAGAGCCCTACCCCCCCTACCAGGATTCATAGACTCCAAGGCCAGAAGGGACCATTGTGATCATCCAATCTGACCTCCTGCATAGCACGGGCCAGAGACCTGCCCCAAAATAACGCCCAGAGCTAGCCTGTTAGAAGAACATCCCGTCTTCATTTACACATTGTCAGGGACGGAGAATCCACCACGAACCTCGGTAAATTGTTGGTTAATTACCCTCATTATAAAAAATGTACACCTTATTTCCAGTTTCAATTTGTCTAGCTTCAACTTCCAGCTGTTTGATCGTGTTCGGCCTTTCTCTGCTAGATTGGATATATGTTCCCCGATATTTACAAATTGTAATCAAGTCACCCTTTAAACTTCTCTTTCTTAAACTAAATAGATTGAGCTCTTTGAGTCTATCACTATAAGGCATCTTGTCTAATCCTTTCACCATTCTTGGGCCTCTTCTCTGAACCCTCTTCAATTTATCAATATCCTTGTTGAATTGTGGGCATCGGAACTGGACACGGGGTTCCAGCATCAGTTGCACCCCTGCCAAATACAGAGTAGCCAACTCGCGAGTCCCCTGTTTATACATCCCAGAATCGCATTAGCGCTTTTGGCCACAGCGTCGCACTGGGAGCTCACGTTCAGCCAATTATCCACCATGACCCCCAAATCGTTTCCAGAGTCCCTGCTTCCCAGGCTAGACTCCCCCACTCCGTACGTATGGCCGACATTCTTTGCTCCGAGGAGAGGGAGTCTATAACTGAAATCCTCCCTAAAACAGGAGAGTTCAGCTAAACTAACTAAGCCACTGTCTCCAGTAACAATTATTAACTATCAAAATGACTATTTACAAAATGTAAAGAGAAAAACTTCAGCGAAGCAGGAGACCGGACACTGCTGCTGGCTCTATCTCTCAGCCAGAGGCCGTGAGAAGGAACTGAGGGTTGGCTGGTTGCTCAACCCCCATTGTGCCCTCGGTAAGAGGGGGCTTGAGGACATGGACTGCACAGCTAACGCATCCGATCTCCAGTGCATGGGGCACATGGGCACCAGAAGTGCAGCACATCCGGCAAGCAGTCAACACCAATGGTGGTTACAGTTTGGTACAGACATATCCCACTCTGTCACACCGGTAATCCTGTTACCTTGCCAGTGTAGGGGATTCCAGCCTTGTAGGTCTCGTCAGCGTCCTCAAAGGTCACTATAGGGATTTTAGACACGATCTTGCAGCTCTTGGTCGCGTTGAGCTCCACCCCTAGCAGGAGAGGGAGGGACGATAGGAGGAAGGTGCCAGGAGTGACACCAGAGTTCAGGCTATGTCCCAGATTTCTCTCCATAACAATCTGCACAGCCATTTCTACCCCCTCTAGCTATGGACTGGAGGGTGTGATTTGGGGGAGAATTTGGGAGGTTCGTCTGGGGGCGGAGAAGGATTTTCCTGGGGAATCTGGAAACTAGCAAATTTAGATCCACCTTCCCCTGGTGCTTAATCCCAAACCAGCCACTTGACATTTGCCAGCAGAGTCTCCTGGCTCTGCGGCCCTTTCCCCAGCAGAGAGCTCCTTACTGAACGGCCCCAGAGCTGACCCCGCGCACAGGCCTCTCGGCACAGGGCCTGCCCCCAGAAAGTGCCCAGTGACCCGTTGCCGTTCTGGACCCGCTCTCCTCCAGCCACTTCGCCATCGCTGGTGTCAGCACCTGAGGGTAACGTTGTATCCACCCCACAGTTACAGTTTTCAGCCAAATGGGTGTCGGCCGCTCTGGAAATCAGGATTCTTCTGGGTTAAATGTGGAGTTATCTGGGTTCGTTGCTAAGCGATTAGCACTTGCAGTTTTGAACGCTAAGCGCTAACGTTACCGAGGCCGTGACTCAGGGCCCAGCGACACAGGCTGGGCCTTCACTCCGCTCTGCCAGCTCAGTGCACAGCCAGAGGCCACTCGCGGGAGGGTGTTTAGTCTTTGCATGAATGTGCCCAGGTCTGAACTCCTCATGAGGATCGATCCCAGTGATGGGCTGAACCAGAACCCCAGATCCAACCCCCAACGCTACCTCTGGGCCCATCTCTAAAGCAGCTGGGCTACAAACGACATTATCACATGTGCAAGTGAGACCCCTCTGCCCCTGGGGGTTTAGTGCTGGGGGCTGCCTGGGGGTGTGCATGTGTGCTTGATTTCAGTCCCACCTGTCCCCTCCTCCTTGAGAGACGCCTTGGCCTGGAAGCTCATTCCATAGCCAGAGTTGGTCGGCAGTAAGCGAGGAATGTTCACCTCTCTGGAAAAGCAGCCATTGGTGTCAGTCTGGAGGGAGAGAATCACAGCCCGTTAGCAGCAGCTCTGCACTAGGCCCCGCAGGTGTCAGCTCAGCAGGTCTCTAATCGGGCTTGGCCTGGTTAGTGCTGGGACAGGAGACACTCAAAGAAAACCTGGGTGCTGAAGTCAGCAGCAGGGGGCGCTCTCATCTTGGAGTCAGCCCTGACACCGGTACCCCAGCACGGCACTAGGGGGCGCTGTGCAGCTGGAGCTGCTGTGGGTGGGATGAGACGTAAAAGAGGCCCTGGCCACTCGTGCCCATCACAGATCCCCTGGTGCTTGTCCCCCATCGTCGTGGTAACGCTGGCTAATTCCAATCACGCCCCTAGCCCCCCAGGGACTGAGAGCATTCGGGGAGATCTGAATCTTTCCATTGACCCACCTAATGAGAGCTGCTGATGAGGAAGGGCGGCCCCGTAACCTGGGGCACTAGCCTAGGTCTGGAGAGACCTGGGGGCAAGTCCCTGCTCTGCCACAGGCTGCCTGCAAGTCCCTCTGAGTACGGCTCCAGCAGAAACACCCTGCGGCCGCGAGTCTCAGAGCCCAGCCCTGCTGACCCCACTTGTGCTGCGGGGCTAAAACCAGCAGGTCGACAGTCGGGTCCAGGCGCTAGACCCGGGATCGGGGGAGGGTCTCGGAGCCCAGGCTCCAGCCAAGCGTCTACACTGTTCCTTTAGCCCCGCGGTGCAAGCCCCAGGCAGCAGAGCTGGGCTCGGAGACGCTGCCGCAGGGTTTTTGCTGCACGGACGGACCCTGAGCATCTCTGTGCCTCAGTTCCCCATCTGTACAATGGGGACAGGAGCCTGCCCTGCCTCCCGGCGGCTAGGAGGATCAGTGAGGCACTGAGATATTGTGGGGAAAGGGGGGGCGTATAAGTCCCTAAGCCCAACTACACAGGTGCCAGTCCCCAACCCCAGCCTGCCAGATGGGGACCTGGATGGATCCAGGACCTGATTCGCCTGCACTTACACCAGCTTTACATCAATGTCAACAGCATCATCAAGGCAGATCACAGCGCCCCCTCTGGCCAGTGTAAGAAAAACATGGAGAGGAGCCTCCTCCAGCAGCATGTCATGTACCTCCCCCCTCCCCAGTCACACTCACCTTGCCAGGAAGCAATGTGCAGTAAAATGGTATCTCCCAACACAGGCTGGCCTCGACCCTCCCCAGAATGGGATTCCCATAGGTGTCTCTGTTTAGGAGAGGGGAAGGAGAGGGTAAGTGGGAGGGGAGGGGGCCAACGCCCCTGCCCATGGGGGGGTCCCTGCTGGGGTGAGGCTGGTCATGTGGCTGGGAGTGAGAGCCCCAGGGAGCATGGGGCAGAGGGGCGCAGGCAGGGAAGGGGCAGGTCAGATCCTGGCCTGGGGGGCGGGGAGTCAGGTCGAGGGCGGTACCAGCCCCCCCTTTATCAGCCTGGCAGGGCTGGTTTCACACTCACCGGCCGCACACCCGCAGCAGGAGCATCTCATCCAGCACTGTCACCACGGGGGGCAGTTCCAGGGTCACTTCGAACTTGGGCAGCACTGGGGGGCAGAGAGGGACGGGGTGAAACCGACCCGCAGCCCCGGCTCGGGGGTTTCATCGCGATCCTCGGCCTTGGAGCTTCTCCCCGGGTCTTGCAGCCCCCCACCAGCCTGCCGGCCGGGCGGGAAGGGGAAGGGCCCGGAAATGGAGCAGGGCTGGGAAGAGACTGCAGGCTGCAGCAGTAGGGTTGCCAGGTGTCTGTTTTTCGACTGGAATGCCCGGTCAGAAAGGGACCTTGGCGGCTCCCGTTGGCACCACGGACTGGGCCGTTAAAAGTCCAGTCGGCAGCGCAGTGGGGCTAAGACAGGCCCCTGCCTGCTGTGGCTCCGCACTGCTCACAGAATCAGCGGCATGTCCCCCCTCCAGCTCCTACCCATACAGGCAGCCAGGGGGTTTCACACACTACCCCTTCCCCAAGCACCTGTGGGGGATCAGGGTGGTGGGAGGCAGTTGGGGGGCTCGGACAGCATATGTGGGGGTGGGAGGGTGGGAGGCAGTTGGGGGCATCAGGGGCAGGTGTCTGGGGTGAGGGGGGGTAGTTGGCAGCTGTTTTAAGGGATACATCAGAGCTCTTCTCTCCCCCTCCCCCGCAGGAGGCAGAGGAGGTTTGGTGGGGGAGAATGGAGAGGGGGCCACTGACATTTCCCTCCCCCTCCCAGCAACACCAGCTCTGGGAAGGGTGTGTATGTGTGAAGAGCCCCTTGTGCTCCAGGACAGGGTTAGGGTACAGCACAGGGCCGATGTGGGTGGGTGCTGGGTTGGGGCCGGGAGGACAGAGTTAGATGCTGGGGGTTGGTGAAAAGCTGGAAGCTCCGTCCCATCCAGCAGCCAGCGAGCTCCTGCAGCAGGAGCCAGGATCAGCTCCCATGATAACTTTGGTCACATGGTAACTGCCCCCATCCACCTCCCACACACACTGGGAGGAGGCGGGGGGGGGGTGCAGAATTCCGAAGTCAGACCAAAAACATGAGACAGCCATGGTTTTGACTCATGATGTTGGACTCACGGACACCTCGCCCCAGGAAGACTCAGGAATCCCCCTTCCTCCCCATGTGCCAGAGCCGCGGCTTCGCTTGCTGACCTGGGTCCCGCTGCGCACCGTATTCCTCCACGCTGAATGAGTGCCTCGTCCCCTGCGCCTCGATGGCGTACGTCCCCAGGGCCGGCTCTGCAGACAGTGGGAGGGACAGATCCACGATGCCCTGCTGCGGAGTCACATCTCGCCACTGGGCGATGCGGTTCCCGCTGGGATCCTGGCAAACGGACACGCCCTGCTCAGCCGCTGTCCCCACACACGGCTCGTCCCCAGCAGCCCCCGAGTGCCTCATGCTGCCGACGGGGGCTGGATCGACGGCCGGGGGTTCAAATCCTTCTCCTTAGCCTGGAGCAGGCACCACCGGGCAGCCCCTGGGCAAGGGGGCCCCTGCCAGTGCCCCTCAGCCCTGACCCGAGAGACACCCCATCTCTAGCCGGGACAAAGCCCAGGGAACTCGCCATAGGGACTGTCATAACTATAAAGGGAAGGGTAACAGCTGTCCTGTGTACAGTACTATAAAATCCCTCCTGGCCAGAGACTC